CGTTGCGCTCTCGCGGCCTCCCTCTTTTCCCTCCCCTCCCCCTCCCCACTTTAACATACATTTCCAGCGAAGCGACTCTGTAGTTTCCAATCTATCAACAATTCATTACAGCTTTTAGCTTCAAAACGCCAGCTAATTAAAAATACTAAGCCAAGCTTCGAAAGGCGAGGAGGAGGGAAGGATAGGTGACAGATGAGCTAGCGTTTGCTGAAGCAATTTTGAGCGAGAGAGGGAGGGGGGGACACCTCTGTCCTGAAAACAAGGTCGCCCATTTTATATCTTTTGGACTCTTTTAATTACTGAATTACCCACCTCACGACTGACTCGCTTTTGAGCTGCCTTTTTTTCTTTCTTTTCCTGGACAGCATTGGGAATCTGATTTTATTATTATTATTTTCAGCCAAACAAACCCTCAAACTTTAAATGGTGGGAAATCTTATGCTTGGGAATATTTGCTTCATTTTAAAAGGCACTCTTGTTTTCCCACTGCGAGCAAATGTTTTGATAACCGGTTTATCAGACCCTGATTTTGATCCCCTCCCCTGTTCCCTTTCCTTTCTTTCACCCTCCCCCCTTCCCTCCTTTTTTTCTCAAGTTAGTTCAAGAAGTCAGAGCTGTCAGGAGGGGAGGGGGAAAATGCCACTTCCCGACTAACAGGCGGAATCCAGCCCAGATTTTCAGTCCTTTCTTTGCCCCCCCTTCACTAATTTTCCCCGATGTTAGCACATTCTGCCTTGTAACAACTGGACGCCTGTAGGTTTGTTTCATGGAATCATTACTTACTCATCAGGATGACTGCAGAATCTGGAACTGAAGACGGGATGTGAAGTTGGGGAAAACCTTTTTTGCAATTTTTATTTTTTTATTTTTATTGTAATCACATCTTGCTGTTATTCAAACAAGGGAGAGAAACAAACAAAAATGAGGTTTTTTCCTCTTTTTTCCTTTTTGATACTTGAGGCTTCTTGTGAATGTGAAATGCTTTCTTCCAGCCTGTGAAGTTGTAAGGGACATAATATTTTAAGGAGGAAAACCAAATCAGAAAAAGAGGGGCAAGGACCTCTGTTTTGTTTGCAAAAGTGGAAGGAAATATGTTACTCGGCGATTACTCTGGCAGAAATGTTAGTTGGTTTCTACTTCTGGATCATCCGCTCTTTAAGTAAAATGAAATGGGGCACTGAGTTCTTGCTGAGACCAGGGAGAACAGAATGTTTGATTTGCTGGCTTAATTTTTTAAAAATGGTAAAAGATTAAAGGTAAGCAATGTATATAATATGTTATGTGAATATTTGGACGTGTAACCCTAAGAAAAGGGCAGATTCCCTTTAAAAAAATTTTTTTTGCTAAGCTGTGTCAGACACACACTTATTTGTGCTTAGAGGCCACCTTGGTGTGGATCATTAAAGTGTATGTCTTAATCAGTTTCCTGTACAGTCAGTACTACTGTACTATATTTAACAGTTAGAACTGTAGATGACCTAAGAGGGCATTAAAACCACTTTCAAATATGTTATCTGATCTACATTTTAAATAGAAATGATTCATCTGCTCATTAGAAAGAAAGTACGGTGAATGCACTTGTACTGGTTATTTTTCTGTGTGTCTAAATGCTCTCCTCTGTCCTCCCCCTCCCACACAGAAACAAGCTAATCCTATCTAGGGAAAAGTCACTGAACTTGGAGAGGTTTGGTTTAAAATTACAAAATCTGTGGAATGCATTTTGGGATAGAAGTTGTCTGTCTTTGTGCCTAAGGGGTCCAGAATCACATTCCCAGGTTTTTTTTTTTATTTTTTTAGCTTTGTAGATTTAAATCCTACAACTTAAAGGGTGTTTTTTAAAGCAGTTTTTAAAATACATATATTTTTGGTACATGGCTTTTTAAAGAGTGATCCTGAATGATGGGCTGCAACTGTAGGGAAGATGCTTACACTATTATCAAAAGCTTCAATTTAACAGACTTCTTAAAAATTAATCTATGGAATGTTCTTTCTTTCTCACTTGCCTCTCTGTTATTAATTTTATTTTATTCTGGTAACACCCAGCCAAGAAATATTCGACTTTTCCCCTTCCTCACAGGAGAAAGTGGATCTGGACTTCAGGGTATATGCCCAGATATACCTGGGGAAGGAAAGCAAGAAGAATTACACTTTAAAAAGCCCCACGCAGATAAACGAATGTCCCCTCATCTCCAAAAGAAAGTTCGTCTGATTTTTACACAAGAGGTCTCATCTTCAGGATGTCATTGAACACTTCGACTGCTGGCAAAGGTGTGGATCCAAACACGGTTGATACTTACGACAGTGGTGATGACTGGGAGATTGGAGTTGGAAATTTAATAATTGATTTGGATGCTGATTTGGAGAAGGACAGACAGAAATTTGAGATGAGTAATTCTACCAATTCCAAGGATTGTGGAGGTCTTGCTTCTAGTGGTGTGAATGCTACCTCAGCCTTAGCTGATGGCCTAAAATTTGCTTCTGTTCAGCCCCCTGCTCCTCAGGGGACTTCTTCACACAAAGAAACTAGC